CTAGGGCTTGCGATCAACTTCTTCGCAATATTGTTCCGTGGTACGTTCTCTATTGTATTTGATGGTGTTAAAACATATTTACTAGGCTTTTCCATTGATTTCTGTAAACCCAAATTAAAATTTTTTTTATCACGTTTGCTCGAATAAATTATAAGTTATATATATTAATAATAAAAAATCACGTCATCAATACAAATTGATCTTAGGCATAAATTGAAAAAACAAAACAGAAAAAAATACATTGATGTTTTGATTTTTTTTTTTTTTTTTTTTTTTTTATTAAATAAAATTAACTATGGGTAACATGTCTTTTGAGATGTTAGAAGACTTATGAATAGGCTTTGGTTACCATGATGGCTTTGCTGGTGGTACATCTCGTTTGTAAAGAGCTGTCTTGTCTCTAAACTTTGACATTCTTTCGTCTTCAATCTTATCTAGTTGATGACCAATAAACATACCAGCTAAGGGAATCAGCATCAACAGATAATTTTTACGAAATTGGGACTTGATCACTTTGATGTCTTTCGTTATGATCTTCATATTTACTGGACTTCTTGATTCTTTAAAGCCAAGCTAGCTTTCCACCTCTGAGTACGAGAGTAGTCTGCGTATATGCAGTAAAAAAAAAATGATGGAACTATGACCACCAAGGAATATCTCTTCCACAAGTTACTTGCTAGTTCTAAGCCCATCAAACTGAAAAACACGATTATAAATGAAAAAACGACTTTATTAATCATTAAAGAGTGTAGGTTATGTCCATTACGTAATGGCAACAACAAGCAATTTAAAGGGTATTGCAATAATTCGCAACACATTTGTAAATGATTAGTATACAACTGTATCATAAAATTAACTACAAAAAACTTGATCGGCTCAACAGTATCATAGTATTCAGCAATGCAAGTGACTGTCAAGCTTTACTCTACTTGTTGCAAACGTTATTGCATACTTGGTACGAACACAGATACTCTATACACAATTAAAACAATAAAATATGTTAATTATTACCTTTTTACATTAATTATAGAGTTAAAACAAATAATTGACACTCTTTTGGAATGTTTAGATTGATATGACACTAAATTTACGGACCTGCGACATACACAATAGCACAAACACCACCGCAATCTACAGCTGATCGAATCAATATATAGCTGCTGTTATTCGTTGGCGCGCCGACTCAAATCATTACTCAAGTAAATAACTGTTTTTATATTTTTGTACGTTTTTTTTTTTTTT